AATTCCCGCCCCCCCCCCATGTTATCCAGTTGTTCCAGCACCATTTGTCCTTTCTGGATAGAATTCCCTGTGCTCCTTTGCTGAAGAGCCACTGAATATATTCGTATCTATTTCTGGGCTCTTTATTCCCTCCTATTGGTTTATTTTGCCTGGTCTTGGGCCAGTGCAGCTCTGTCTTGACTGCTGGAGCTGTGGTGATCTTCAAGTTGGGCAGTCCTCTGACTCCTCAGTGTTGTTTTGGCCATCCTGGGTTTGTCTTTCCATAGAAACTTTAGAATTAGTGTTGGTTGATAGCCACAACATAACTTGCTGGGATTTTGCACAAAATTGCATTGAATCTGGTGTTTAAGTTGGAAGGAACTGACATTTTTTTCATTTGCTGAGGTCATGTTGATTTGCACATGCCTGTGATTTAGGGATGTCAGTTCACACGTCTGCAGATGTAAGTTACACTGTGTCCACCACCCAAGTACCAGCAACCCACCTCCCCACTCCGTTGGGCCCCCTCCCCACTTACTCCCACTAGCCCCTTGTAACCTCCCATCCGCAGTCAGAACCCAAGGGATTGTGAAGCCGCAGCCTCCTCTGACGTGCGGGTGTTTCTCTTTACATACCGTTTCCCTTTGCAAAGAAGCAGCAGCCACGCTCCCTGCCCACCTGCGATTAAGCAGATGCTTCATTTTCTGTTTCCTAACACGCCTATCCTTTTTTTTTTTTTTTAAAGATTTATTTATTTATTTATTTATTTATTTATTTATTTATTTATTTATACATGCACTGGGTACAGTCAGAAGCACGGGAGGGTGAGAGAACTCACCAGAGCCAGAGCCGGGAGCAGAGCAGGCAGAAGGACCGAAGTGCACTGCTGAGGGGAGCAGCGGGTGGCAGGAGAGGTCTGCGCGCCATGTGGGACCCTCCTCCGGTGGCCAGGGAGCAGCCAGGGATCGAACCGGCGCTGCAGAGGCTGCGGGCAGCTTCGCAACCCAGCGCTCAACCGCTGCGCCACCGGGGAGGCCCCACACCTATCCTTTTAATATGTCAAAAAAAAAATCTAAGGGATTTTTGTTTTAATTTGGTTTTGAATGTTTCTTTGCTTTGTTTCTTTATATTTCATATATGAGTAAAATCATCCATCGGGCTTTTGTCTGCCTCCTAATGACTTACTTTGCTTAGCCTCACCCCCTGCAGTTCCATACATGTTGTTGCAAACGGCAAGATTTCACCCTTTTTGAAAAATAGCTGGACAGCATTCTGCTGTGTATACACCACATGTCAGTCTGCCCGTCTGCCTTTGGGCACTGAGGTTGTTGCCATATCTTGTCTATTGCAAATAGTGCTGCCATGAACATAGAAGAGCGTATCTTTCGAACAAGCGTTTTTCTGTTTTTTGGATAAACACCAAAGAGTGGAGTTGCTGAATCCTATGCTCTGTTTTCAATAATCTGAGAAAGACTGGACGAGCCTACATCCCCACTAACAGTGGCTCTTTATCTGCACACCCTTACCCACACTTGTTGCTTGTCTCTTTGATATGGGCCGTTCTCACAGGTGATACTCATGTATTTCCCTGGTAATGAGTGATGAGCATTTTTAAAAATCTTTAAAATTTTTTAAATTTATTTTTGTGAAGAACTGGGGTGCAGGCCAGAGATGTGGGGGGTGAGAGGACTCAGGAGAGGAAGAGTGGGGAGCAGAACAGGCAGATCTACTGAAATACACTGCTGAGGGGAGCAGAGGGCGAGACAGGAGAGGTCTGCTGTGCCATGTGGGTAGCTCCCTGAGGAGGGGGTTTCAAACTCAGGCCGTGGTGGTAATAGTGCTGAGACTTAGTCCCTTGGCCACCAGGGAGGCCCAGTGATGAACATTTTTTTTTTAAAGATTTATGCATATAAGAGCTGGGGTACAGGCCAGAGGGGTGTGTGTGTGTGTGGGGGGGGTGATAAGATTCACCAGGGACAGTGTGGGCAACAGTACTGGCAGATTGACCAAAGTACACTGCTGAGGGGAGCAGCAGGCGAGTCAGGAGAGGTCTGTTGCGCCATGTGGGTTGCTCCTTGAGGCTGCAGATTGCTTCACAGTGTGCTGCTTAACCCCTTGTGCCACCAGGGAGGCCCCTTTTCTGCCAATTTTTGATTGTGCTAATTTATTAGTTTGCTTGCATTCTCTGTAAATCTTGGATAGTAACCCCTGTTGGATGTATTATATGAAAACATTTTCTCCCAAGTAATCAAACAGCTAGATGGAGAGAAACACAGGGGAAGGTATGAGAAATAGACTTGAAGCCCCCATGCTGTGTCCAGGTGAGCCAGCTCCCCCAAATTTTTAGTGTTGTTCACCACCCCGGAAAGCCCAAGAACGCACATTTTAATATCAAACCTTCATGTCCATAAATGTGGACTCTCTCCATTTATTTAGATCTTTCTTTCAACAGGGATCTTGTACATATTCTGTCGGATTTATACCTAAGTGTTTTATTTATTGGGGTGCTGATGTACATTGATTGTATTAACAATCATTTTCAAATTCTAATTGTTACTATACATAGGAAAGCGATTGACTTATATCTAAATGAATCTTGTACCTTGAATACTTGCTGTAATTGTCTCTTCGCTCCAGGAGTTTTTGTTGCTTCTTCGGGATTTTCTACCAAGATGATGTCATTTGTGAATAAAGAGTTTTCTTTCCTTCCCAATCTGTGTATCTTTTATATCTTTTTCTTGTCTTTGCATTGGCTAGGCCTTCCGGTATGATACTGAGTACTGAGGGGGTACAACCTTTCGTTGCTGTTCTCACAGGGGAAGTATCTAAGGGTTTCACCATTAAGTATGATGTTAGCTGTAGGTCTTTTGTACATTTATCAAATTGTGGAACTTCCCTTTAATTCTTGTTTGCTGAGTTATGAGTATTGTTTTCTCAGATGCGTATGCTGCATTTGTTGCTGTTTCATTTTCCTACAGCCTGTTTGCACTGATATTTGAATGTTGAACTAGTCTTTTTTTTTTTTTTAAGTGCCCAGCTTCCCAGGGCCCTTGCAGATGGCACCTCTCCTGGGTTTTTGTTTTGTTTTTTAAGATTTATTTTTATTTATTTGCACAAGCACTGGGTACAGTCAGAAGCGCGGGAGGGTGAGAGAATTCACCAGAGCCAGAGCGGGGAGCAGAGCAGGCAGAAGGACTGAAGTACACTGCTGAGGGGAGCAGCGGGCGGCAGGAGAGGTCTACGCGCCATGTGGGACCCTCCTCCAGTGGCCGGGGAGTAGCCGGGGATAGAACCGGCGCTGCAGAGGCCGCGGGCAGCTTCGCAACCTAGCGCTCAACTGTTGCGCCACCAGGGAGGCCCTAAACTAGTCTTATATACCTGAATAAATTCCACTTGGCCATGGCATATAATTTTTAGACATTGAATTTATTTGCTAATATTTTATTGAAGGTTAAAAAAATGTATACTGAGTTACTGGTCTGTAGTTTACCTTATAATGTCTGTCTGATTTTGGTAGTGGGGTAATGCTGGTCTCATAAAATGAGTCATCTATTGATTAATAGGTGCAGGCATATCAGATATCTGTGTTATTTATGCATATAAGGACCAGGGTACAGGCCAGAGATATGGGGGGGTGGTGGTGGTGAGAGGATTCACCAGAGTGGGGAACAGAACAGGCAGACTGACTGAAATGCACTGCTGAGGGAGCAGCGGGTTAGGCTGGGGTCTGCTGAGCCATGTGGGTTGCTCCCTGGCCAGCCGGGGATTGAACTTGTGCTGCAGAGGCTGCGAATTGCTTCATAATGCGGCGCTTAACCCCTTGCATCACCAGGGAGGCCCTGGTAGGTTGTTTTTAAAGGAATTTCATCTAGGTTATCAAATTTGTGGGGCTAGATAGTATTCCTTTATCATCTTTTAAAAAAGATATCCGCCCCCCGCCCAAAAAAAAATCCCTTCTGTCCCCTCCCCCTCTTAACCTGAGCGCCCTCAGGATGTTTACCAGTGTACACGGGTTCTTTAAAGTGTTTTACAATGAGTTGTCTGCTACATACATATCCAGTATTTTGATCATTCTGACTTTACGGCACAGAATTCTCTCAAACTCCATTTTGTTGACAATGGCTGATTTCATGGCTGTATGATGCCCCACGGTATATATACATACACATCTTCTTGAGCCAGTGTTTCGTGATGGACACTTAGCCTGTTTCCATGTCCTTGCTATTGTAGATGTTGCCATGAACACTGTGGAACACACCATTTTGGGGGGAAGATTTCATATTCTGTGTCTCTATGCCCAAGAGTGGGATTGCTGGGTTGTTTCCATTTTTAGTTTATTTTTTAAAAAGATTTATTCATGCATACAAAAGCTGGCGTACAGGCCATAGGTGGGGGGCGGGGAGAGGATTCACCAGACAGTGGGGAACAGAAAACAGGTGGATTGACCGAAGTACACTGCTGAGGGGAGCAGCGGGCAAAGCTGGAGAGGTCTGCTGTGCACAGCTGCATAGGTTGCATCTTAACCCCTTGTGCCACCAGGGAGGCCCATTTTTAGTTTTTTAAGGTAAATCCAGATTGCTTTCCATAACCATTATACCAGTTTATATTCCCACCAGCCCTGTAACAGGGCTCCTTTTTTCCCTCCAACACCTGGTGTTGGGGATCTTTTTAATATGGGCCATTCTCACAGGTGTGAGAGGGCATCTCATTGTGGTTTTAATTTACATCTTATTAGAACAACAAATATATTTTGTCATTTGTTTGGCCTCTGGATGTCCTCTTTGGTGACTAGCAGCCTTTTCATGTCTGCAGGATCAGTAGTAATGGCCCTTTTCATTTCTGGTATTAGTAATTTGTCTTTTAAAAAATATTTTTTAAAAAAATATTTAAAATAGCTAGAAGTGGGCCTCCCCTGGTGGCGCAGCGGTTGAGTGCTGGGCAGCCTCTGCAGCGCCGGTTCCTTCCCTGGCTGCTGGCGAGGGTCCCACCCAAAAAAAAAAAAAAAAAAAAAAAAGCTGGAAGTTTATTTTTCAAAAAAATCTTGGTTTTATTGATTTTTTTCCTACCAATCTCATTTTCGAGTTCATGGATTTCCACTCTAATTTTTCTTTGCTTCTGACTTTAGCTTAATATGCTCTTCTGTTTCCTGAAAGTAGCGGCTTATTGACTTTAGGTCTTTCTTCTTTTGTAAGAGTTAATGCTTTTGCTGGATCCCACAAATACTGGTGTTTGTAGTTCAAAATACTTCTCATGACTTCTTTGACCTGTTACTTAGAAGTGTGCTGCTTAACTATTTTGGGATTTTGCAGCTATCTTTTCTGTTAATTTCCATCTTAATTACAGATAATTTTCCTTGCTCTGAAGCCCACTTTCTCTGACACTAATACAACCATCCCAACTTTCTTTTGATTAGCTTTCTCTATTCCGTCTTCACATTTAAAATGGGTTTCGTATAGACAACATACATAGTAGTGGGATTTTTTTTTAAGATTTATTTATTTATGCATACAAGAGCTGGGGTGTAGGCATACAAGAGCTGGAGTGAGAGGATTCACCAGAGACAGAGTCAGGAGTAGAACAGGTGGATTGACGGAAATATATTGCTGAGGGGAGCAGCCGGCAAGACGGGAGCTCTGCTGCACCATGTGGGTAGCTCCCTGTGGGGATTGAACAGGAACTCATGCTGCAGATTGTTTCAGAGTGCTGCGACTTAACCCCTTGCGCCACCAGGGAAGCCCAGTAGTTTGATCTTAATTCACCCTGACAGTGTCTTACCATTTAAATCATTGATATTTGAAGTCATTACTGATAGTCTGATTATAATTGACCACAATTGTTATTGCTTTTTTTTAATTATTTTAGCCTTTGTACTTTTTTTTTCTTCTAAAGATTTATTTATACAAGAACTAGGGTGCAGGTCAGAGGCGCAGGAGGGTGAGAGACTCCACCAGAGACAGAGCGGGGAACAGACTAGGTAGACAGACCAAAGACACTGCCGAGGGGAGCAGCGGGTGAAACAGGAGAGGTCTGCCATGCCATGAGGGTATCTCCCTGGCCGGCCGGGATTGAACTGGCTCTGCAGAGGCTGTGGACAGCACAGCTTCACAGCACAGCTCTCAACCCACTGTGCCACCAGGGAGGCCCTGCTGTTTTTTACCCTTGTACTTCAACTTTTTTGGAGGGTGATGGGGGAGGTTAAATATGAAAAGGGTTGTGTTGAGCTTGACCCAAAGAGGTGAATTATAGTGGACCTTTGTACTTGACTCTTCCTGTTTGGGGAAAATTTCTTTTTTTTCTTTCTTTTTTTTTTTTTGATGCCTTGTCACTTTCAGAGAATCTCATTTTTGACTGGACTCCGAAGTGTAAGTTCTCAAAGACAGTCTGCTTCTGGTGATTCCATGGCTACCTTCATTCTCTTGGCCAGAAGTTTAGCATACTCTGCAGCCTCTTCCTTGTTTTTCTTAGTGTACCGTTTCTCCAGATCAATATCCCACATTTGTGTTGCAGAACTAAGACAAGAGAGACAGGAGAAACTTTTGTCATTCCCACCACTGATTCGGACCACATAACCCTTTGATTCTTCACTCAGTGAAAGAGCAGCTTCTGTGGCCTTCAGCTCATAAAAGTTTGTGTTCTTCGTCCACTTCAATGGTTTCTGGCAGCCAGTGGCAGGGAAAGAGATGTCTGGTGTCATTTTGAAGCAGCAGACTGCCTCTCAGGCGCCACAAGAGTTGGGTGCATTTCTATGGTTACTGCTTCACTGCTTCCCACTGTAACAGAAGTGAGATGAGCCATCCTCATTTTCTTCATTCCTTGGCATAGGATATGGGATGACAATCTGGACTTGGTCAAAGTGACACTCACAGACAATCCTTTAAATCTTGACTAAGTGATGGAGCAATTAAAACTTTCTCATAATAGTGGGTTGTGGCCCTGTCCTGCAGCAACTGAGACACTTAAGGAAAACAGGCTAAATCTTGTAGAAACCCTATTTGACTTGGACCTCAGTTCAAATCCTGCTAGAACTTGAAACAAATGTTTTCTTGCATCAAAAATGAAGCTTTACAAGGGAGGAGACCCACAGAAGTCCAGAGAGGAATCCTATTTTTGTCACTAGCTGTGCTACACTGGACAAATCACATCACTCCGAGCTTTTGTCACAACCTAACCTTTACCTCAAGTTACTGCCATCTTCCCAACTTAAACTAGAAAGATCAGTTTGTTGTTTAGGGATAACAATGCAGCCAAGAACAAGTACCACACTTAGAGACCCTCTTCAACAGCTGGCAGGAGAGCTCCGTGCAGTGATTTGCCAAAGACAGGGAACTGTGAGGCCAACAGGAAGTGCTCAGTGGTCCAGTGTCAGGCCCACAGGAAGTGCTCAGTACTGATCAGGGGCCAAGTTCCATGACCCCAACCTGAACAGTCAAAGAATGTTCCATGGCAAGAGGGCCTTGTCTACTGTGTTCATACTCTCTTCCCATGACCTATTTAGAAGGCATCAAGTATCAACTGAATGCTTTTGGGGGCGGGTGGACATCGTGCTGCAACTGAACCCAACAGTACCAATCCAGGGTAGTGCTGCAATAACACGATGAAAAATATACATGAAAGGACTAACTGATGCACATTTGGAACTCAAAAAGTGATAAACTCTCTTATTTTTTTTTTTAACCACTTCCTTTTAAATCAGAAGCTAAGTAAATATAAATGGGTTTAAAAACTGCTGGGGAAAAAATAATTGTAGATCCATTTTGTACAGAGATGGAACTTCCATGTCACAACATTTAAAGGTCTCACACAGTAAGTTCACTTGGTTAGAATTAATGTGCCTTAATCATGAAAATGAGAACTTTAACTTGTGAGAGAAGAAAAATACCCAAAGACCAGACCTCACCCTTAGGGAATGCTTAGTCCTTATCACCACTGGAGCCTGACACTGGATCAGCGGCAGTGGGAAATGTACTGGTTGGCGTCACCTTGTTGTAATGACAAAGGACTGGGCCCAGGTAAACAGAGGAAAGAAAGCTCTAGGAGGAAATGGAGGCTCCTTAGTTTAGCTGTCCTTTGGGATCTTGACATTTCAGGTCTCCAACACTCACCTCAGTCTCCTTCATCCCATCTGTTCCTCAGAAACGCTTCATCACCTGGACGACTATGGACAATTCCGTTTCCCAGGTAACCTGTAGATCTTTCCTGCTCCTTGATGTGCTCCGGCCCCAAACAACTGCAATCACTGTGCGGCTGGGGTGGCTGCCCCCGGGAGTTCACATGATGGTCAGATCCATTTACCAGCAGTAGAGCCCTACAACTCCTACCCTCCTGTGCAAGGATTTTCAGCTCCCTCCCCTTGGCATTTATAGCCCTCTAAGATTCAATCCATTTTGCTAAACTTGTCTCCATGATCAAACCCCTGGTCCCCAGGCACACAGCCCCATGCCTTCCTAACCTCCACCACCACCTCCGTAAAGGTCTAACCTCAGTGCTCCAAACTGTCTGAACCCAGATGAAGTTACAACTCCCTTCTCTGAATGACATGTCACCCTGGGGTCACTTCCCATTTGCAACCAGAACACACCTGTAGAAGGGCAAGAAACCGATTTTGTCTTCACAGTGTGCTCTACAGGGAATGTTCTATGGAAGGTGACAGGACAGTCTAGGACATTTGGCAGCCCCAAATGCTCAAAGGCAGCAGTCTGAGAAGGGGTTTTCTCTCCTCCCAAGCTTGCTGCAGCTCACAGTGAAGATTCCCAGACTCCTTCCTGCTCTGATGTCTCTCACAGCTCCCTCGGCGGGGGTGCAGGCTGGGGTATGCATCTCGTGGTACCTCCAAACGCTCGCCAGACAAGTAATGCAGAGAATGACCGGACAACGATAACCCGGCAGTTTTTCTTCCTGGTTTCTGATTAGTCCAAACTCTAAGGTAACTACTGCAGACTCATGCAAGCAATTCAAACAGCACAGAACTCTATGTTCATGAAACACTCATCTGTTGATAGTCTGAGTTCCCAAACTGATTCAGTTCTCATCAATTTGCCAATTTCTGGAAAACGTGCCTTTATTCTGTTAGTTGTGAAAAACTCTTTAGGAAATGTTGGCACTCTACCCACGGTGAGCCCAACAAACCAAACAGCCATCACACACTGAACTTTTCATGCTGAGAGAGGCTGCTGAGCTCTATCAGGAAATGCAACTTCCATTCAAGCACCATGAAATTTTGTCAAGCAAAAATAGTCTTTATTCAAATTTAATGGAAACAGGGGTCACTATACTTTGCAAGACGGGGAAAAATAAAATTAAAAAAAATTCTTTTTTCTTTTCTTTTTAATATAAAACAATATAATCACAATACCAGAATATGGAACTCTAGAGTTTATTTCCTATGGGTTACTGCAGGTATCGATTTTCCTCGACTGTGCTATTCACAACTTTGTTAAGTCCAAAAATATGGAACAAAAGTGGTAGGAAACTTAAGACTTAGCACTTTCACTAAATGGCATACATCAAAGGGCGTCAATTCAAGGGCAAAAATGGTCGAACTCACCATACCTACCTATGTCATCATTCCAGCCTTAGTGCCGTCCAGGAACTGCGCTCCCTGTAGGAAAGGCCAGGCCTGAAAGCCAAGGCGTTTTGGATATTCTACTGTGGGCCATGAGTAAAGGGGGTTTTTCAAAGAGAAGACTGTTTTCAGTTGAGCAGGAAGGCCTGGCGCCAGGAGGCTTTACGAAGAGGAAGCACTTAGATTTAACAATTGTGGACACACCATTAGGGGAGTTAAAAATGTACAGCAGTGACATGTTCTACTTCAATCACTTGTGCTACGGCTACCAAACATGTACAAAAGACTTCTCGGGTAGTTCCAGCTGTGCTCGTAGCCAGTTAGGACCTTGAGTGGGACCTGGATCTAGACTGAGAGGGTGATCTGGACGCCGACCTGGATCTAGACTTGGACCGAGATCGGGTTTTTGAAGCAGACTTTGACCTGGAGCGTGATTCTGATGGAGGGTTTGGTTTGGATTTGGAATTGGACCTCGACCTGGACCGGGCCTCCTGATTGGTGCCAGCATCTGCACTCTCTGCGCGGCCTTCCCTTTGGCCGGACTCAGACTTGGCGTGTTCCCGCTCCTTTGAGCCTGAGCGGGACCTCGATCTGGACTGGGAACGGTCAGTGTCTTCCTTCTTCTTCTTCTTGCTGCTGCTGCCGGACTTGCTGTCTCGCTTGCTGCTTCGTTTTCTGCTCCTCTCGCTCTTGCTGTGACTGTGGCTGCGGCTGCGGCTACGGCTGTGGCTGCGGCTGCGGCTGCGGCTACGGCTGCGGCTCTCCTCCCGGCTTCGTTTCCTCCCCTTCCTCTTGTCCCTGCTTTTGCTTCGACTCCTGCTCCGGCTCCTGCTGCCTCCTTTGCTCCGGCTCCGGCTCTTGTGGAGGTTCTTCTCTTGACTCCGGCTCTTCTCTTTGCTCCTGCTCCTGCTCACACTCCCCCGCTTCTCTGCCTCCACTCTCCTCTCTTGACTCCTGCTTCTACTTTTACTCTTGCTTTTATGCCGACTAGGACTCCGGCTCTTGGATTTCCCAGCGTTGTCGCTGTTCTGGACCTTCTCCTCGGCCTGGTCTTTGCTCTTGCTGCGGCGCTTGTCTGCGCTGCGGCTACGGCTGCGGCTCTTGTCCTTGCTGGGGCTCCTGCTTTTTTCCTTCTTGCTCCGGCTGCGGCTCTGGCTGCGGCTGTGGCTCTTGCTCCGGGAATGGGAAACTGACCTGAGGAGACACAGGGACGTCGCAGTCACGTGGGGCCGCGGGCTTCAGGCTAATTATGAGATGACAAGCCCACAGGGCGATGTGGACAGCTATGCCCCACAAAAGAATGCATGACTTGCACCGGCCAACGATTGCTTTCAGGATCCCCCCCAATTCCAATCCAGAACTCGAAAAACCAGGATGAGGAGATTTAGCAACATGATGCACACAAAGTGGGAAAGGGTCCAGGCATGCCCTGATGAACTTCAACACCTACGTAAGACCTACCTGGATCGGGAGCGACTCTTCGAATGGCTGCTCTTGCTACTGCCACTTCGGCTTCTGCTCTTACGAGAATGTCTGCTTCTGGAACGAGATCTAGGAGGAGAAAATACTTCCATAAAATTTGCTGACAAAAAGCTAGCTAAATAGTTACCATTTCAATCAAAAAATATGTACAGAACTTAGCTGTGCCCAGGCAAAGCTGAAAGAGAATGTTCGTCTGTGCTCAAGGCCCATAGATCCCGTTAACTATAAACACTCCACCTGGATGTCTTACTTCAAACTCAACATTTCCAACCTCAAACCCACAATCTGTTCTCCCCACTCCCACCAGACCTGCTCTCTTTTAAAGTTCCTTACTTAATTTCACTGATGCCTATATTATTAACCCACTTCCTCACACCAGAAGCCAGAGCCTTGTTCGACGACTCTCTCCCTCATCGTCTTATATAGTGCTGATGCTGTCTCTTCGGTCTCTCCCTCTCTGCCATTGCCTGAGCAAGTTCCACCATCTCCCCCAGCCCCCCATGCCAGGCAAACAGCCTCCGACTTAACCTTCACGCACACGCTTGGCCCTCTGCCTACCTCATCACTCACTACGACCACAGAGTCATTTTAAACAGGCACACTCCAAGCTTTAAAGAAACTTTAAAAAGCCAAGAATGTGGATTCCAACTGTCAATGTCACCAAAAGCAACCAGGGCTCCTTGAAGAAAGTGACTGATCCCAGGAGTAGGATAAGAAATGCACAAGAAAGGCCCAAACATCCTGACAGAAAGAGGAAAATTTTCAAAGACTCCTGGGCACCATTACCTATGAAAAGACACTCGAAAAAAAAAGTTTAACCTGTATCTCAATCACACAAGTCTACAAGTAGTTCAGGGGATAAAATACAAGTCTAATGATACCAAGAAGAAACAGATAAATTCAGCATGTGGGGAAGTATTAAAAAACAACTAGGTAGACTGGGGATGGGGAGGAGAGAAGCTAGGAGGACTGCTCTAGATGGAAGAGACCTTGCAGTGCATGCCCAGGCTGGATCCAGGTCAGGAAGAAATGTGGCACCTGGCTACAAAGACATCCAATGAACAAACTAGGGAAATCTGAATATGGCCTGACCATTAGCTGACTCTATGGAGTCGCTTGTTAATATTCTGAGGTTAGAAAATAAATACGGATTATGCTTATCCTCATTCTTGGAGGCACATGCTGAAGTATCTAAGGGATGAAATGCCATAAATTGCACAATTTATCTTCAAAAGCTACAGCAAAATAAATGTATAGGATGTGTTTATAAATGGGATGAGGAGGTGGCACGGTGAAGAAACTTAAGTTAGAATGGGGTCTACTGTGCTTCATAAGCTATTCTTTTAACTTTGGTATTTGCAAATTATTGTAGTAAAAAGTTTGGAGAAATATATAGTAAAGTGCATTCAGGTAAAACTCCAACAAAACGAAAAGATACCAAAGACACAGGAGTCAATTTGAAGAGCTCCCGATGACTAAAGATATAATTTGAACATAAAAAATTGTGAGTGTAACAGGTGAAACATTGAAAATATAAACATTCAAGAATTCATTCAGGATGACACTAAACAACCACCCTTATCACCTCCTTTGGATACTACTAGGGCACATTTAATATTCTGAAAGTTGCTAAATAAAGATATCAAACTCCTACTTTCATTTCCTATAAAAATTACATTTCAGGGTAACAGAGTGGATTCAACTATGGGAAAATCTTTAAAGGAGATAACCCTTTTTCTTCAGCTCAATGCCTGGAAATTAAAGAGGGTCAAGGAGTGAGTAAAATTAAGAGCCATGTCATACAATTACAATGTTTAAACCTAGGTTGGATCCTAATATGAACAAAGCAACTACAAAAATACATATCTGAAAACAAACAAACATATTTGAGACAACTGAGGGAAACCTGGACACAAATTTGCTAGCTGTGACAATGGCCTGGTGATTTTATTGTAAAAGTCAAATGTACACTGCAGTGCTGCAGGTGGAGTGACAGGATATCTAGTCTTGCCTTAAAACAATGCAACAGGAGGGAGCTGCCCACAGCAGTAACTCTCTCATCAATGCAGTCTTTACTGGTTTCCTTCCCACCCCCTTATTATGCTTTCTGGGATCATCTCCCAAATCAAAATCTTGCACCGAGAGAAAACAAAAACAAAACAAACAAACAAAAAAAACCCAATACAGCAGGATTAAGTAATGAAACAAGGCTGGCAAAATAAAAATGACTAAAGCTGGTGGGTGATAGATATAAGGGACCCAGAGTTGACTACAATATATTTTGTTTTATGCATTTAAAATGTTTTATATTGGGCCTCCCTGGTGGCGCAGGGGGTTAAGCACAGTACTATTAGGCAATCTGCAGCCTCTATGGCACGAGTTCGATCCCCGGCTGGCCAGGGAGCAACCCACATGGCCAAGCAGATCTCTCCTATCTCGCCCGCTGCTCCCCTCAGCAGTGTGTTTGGGTCAGTCTGCCTGTTCTGTTCCCCACTCTGTCTCTGGTGAATCCTCTCACCCCTTGCATCCCTGGCCTGTACCCCAGCTCTTGTATGCATAAATAAATAAGTCTTTAAAAAAAAAAAAAAAGGTTTTGTAACAGGTTAAAAATACAAAGCCTGAAAAGCTTGAAAATCTTTTTTTAAAAAGATTTATTTATTTATTTATACAAGCACTGTGTACAGTCAGAAGCGCGGGAGGGTAAGAGAATTTACTAGAGCCAGAGCAGGGAGCAGAGCAGGCAGAAGGACTGAAGTACACTGCTGAGGGGAGCAGTGGGTGGCAGGAGAGGTCTGCGCATTATGTGGGACCCTCCTCCAGTGGCCGGGGAGCAGCCGGAGATCGAACCGGCGCTGCAGAGGCTGTGGGCAGCTTCGCAACCCAGCACTCAACCGCTGCGCCACCGGGGAGGCCCCAAAAGCTTGAAAATCTTTAATGACTTTCCACTGCTCTTAAGTTTAACCTGCCTGGGGGTCAGCAGGATTGGGTCCTTCACCACTTTACTTCAGGCCACTCTCTTGCTTCCCTCTGCACCCAGCCCTTCAAAAATCACTGCTTTCTTAGCTAGAGAGGCACTGGCCCCTCTATCTGCCCACCATCATATCCAACTCACCCTTTGGGGACTCAGCTTTTTTTTTTTCTTAACATACTCTTAGGACAGTGTCAGTTCTCCAGACTAGTTGTGCTGTGTACATTTCCTGTGACATACTCATCACAATCGTAATTACTGTCTTAGTTCCTGTCTTCTCCACTAGGCTGAGTTTCATGAGGGCACAAACCACACTTATGGGCAGCTGTGGAACAAGACAAAGTCTCCACTACTGAGCAGCTGGGCTCTCTGGGAGAATAACCACGGGACAGTGGCCATGTTTGCCTCCCCACTGAGGATATATAATCTGGGGGAGCCAAGAAGCGCTATAAAAGGTCACTAATACATACCTCAAATGAAAGACATCTATTTGTACTCATGACATGAATTGAAGTTTTACAAATGTCAGCATGAAGTTCTGAATTACTGAAACAATGGGAACTATGCTACTGAGACTTCAGTAAGAGAATGAAATGGGTCATCTATAAGCTCATTAATGCATTTTCAATGAGCTCCAACACACAAAGACATCAACAGTACCTTGAATGACTCCGGCTCCTGGAGTAGGACCGGCGTCGTCGAGAACCAGGTTTGTCTTCCACTAATCTGATTTTTCTGCCATTGACTTCAGTTCCATCCAACTTTTCCAAAGCTCTTTTCATGTCGGAATAAGACACAAATTCAATCACCCCTTCATTTTTGCGTCCTTTGTGAGCATCTGCATAGGTCACTTCTCCCGCCTGACGCATATAATCCTAAAGGGGAAAAAAAAAATCCCCAAATGGGTCAAGACACATTTTTTGCTGAAACAACTAATGCAATCATCACAAAGGAAGCTTTTCCATTCTTTTTTAAGATTTTTTTATTTATGCATACAAGAGCTGGGGTACAGGCCAGAGATGTGGGGGGTGAGAGGATTCACCAGAGACAGAGTGGGGAACAGAACAGGTAGAATGACTGAAATACACTGCTGAGGGGAGCAACTGGCAAGACAGGAGAGGTCTGCCGCACCATGTGGGTTGCTCCCTGGTCAGCTGGGGATCGAACTCATGCTGCAGAGGCTGCGGACTGCTTCATAGTGTGGTGCTTAACCCCTTGAGCCACCAGGGAGGCCCAGCTTTTCCATTATTTAGGAAGAAATACTAAGCTTTTCTTGAATGAAGGTAGCCCTTAAATATTTCCTGGTGGCACAAGGGGTTAAGTCGCAGCACTGGGAAGCTCTCTGCAGCCACTGCAGGATGAGTCCCATCCCTGGCCAGCAAACCTCTCCTGTATCGCCTGCTGCTCCCCTCAGCAGTATATTTTAGTCGATCTACCTATTCTGTTCCCTACTGTCTCTGGTGAATCCTCTCAATCCCCTACCTTTGGCCTGTACCCTCAACCTGGTATGCATAAATAAATAAATCTTGAAAAAATTTTTTAAAAAAACTAACAATATTTATTAAATTTGTGTTATTTCCACATTTCTTTGATTAGTAGCTAGTATATATTGTGGCAGGAGCTGTTCTAGGATTTTTAGATAAAAATGCATTTAATTTTCACCCTTGAGATGAACACTTTATAGCTGAGGAATTAACCATAAGAAAAAAGCAACTACTTAAGTAAAATACTCATAGTGCCAGCACTGTATTCAGTTCAGACAGGCTGGCTCTAGAGCCCATTCTTAAGGCTGCCCTGCTCACTAGGAAGTCTGCTCTCCTACACTCTTATGAGTGGAAGAGAGGTACAGACGTGCAAAACCAATTGAGGATGCTGGATTGGCTCCCTTTGAACCTCTCAGAATATTACAGTAATTCTTTCAGTAAAGGCAACCTTAGCAGCAGACACTTGGTAAACTGCTACAGTAATGACAATCAGCACAATGTACTAGAAAAAAACCAAAAAGGAGGTCAGGAATCCTGGTCCCAGCTCTTCTGCTGAGACGACTATGTGAATTAACCTTTCTGGATCTCATCCCTGTGGCCTGAAGGCTGTCAACATAAACAAATTTAAAAAAAGGAAAAAATAAGAAGGGAGTTGGATAACTCTGAATTTCCCTTTATATTTGTCTTCCTAAGTCATCCAAGTTAAGATTCCACTCCATGGGCCTCCCTGGTGGCGCAAGGGGTTAAGATGCAACTTATGAAGCTGGCCGCTGCCACTGCAACACAAGTTCGATCCCCAGCCAGGGAGCAACCCATATGGCGCAGCAGACCTCTGTCTCGCCTGCTGCTCCCCTCAGCAGTGTACTTCGGTCAATCTGCTTGTTCTGATCCGCACTCTGTCTCTGGTGAATCCTCTCACCCCCCCCACATCTCTGGCCTATACCCCAGTTCTTGCATGCATAAATAAATCTTTAAAAAAAAAAAAAAAAAGATTCTACTCCATAAGGCTCTCTTCTCTACTGAGGTTAGAAATCAACACCATCTCAAAAAACACGCTGGGATCGGTACAGGATGGCAGGTACAGCACTGGGCCCATATTTCTTTTTAAATTTTAATTTTATATATTTTTACATCATTTTTCATTTTTTTGCACAATGTATGCATTTTCATCTTGGTTATATTCCCCATATAATTCCCATCCCCCTTATTTTTACCCTACTCCCTCCTCTCCCCACCCCCACCCCCCAATAGTGTGTCTCTGGTTTATAGTTGCTTGTTGATTTTGATTTTTACTTTATTATAATTAGTCTTTTTTTCCTGGTCCCTTATTTAGGTTTTCTAAATTCCTGCTATGAGTGAGACCATCCGGCATTTTTCTTTTTCTTTCTGGCTTATTTCACTGAGCATGATCCCTTCCAGCTCCATCCATGTTGCTGCAAATGGCATAAGTTTATCTTTTTTGATTGCTGAGTAATACTCCATTGTGTATATGTACCACATCTTCTTGATCCAGCCATCTATTTTTGGGCATTTGAGTTGTTTCCATAGCTTAGCTATTGTAAACAGTGCTGCTATAAACATAAGGGGCCTGCATTTTTTATAACAAACTCTTTCAGGACAAATATCCCAAGTTCTTAGGAAAGAAACATTGGTCAGATAGTGATTTTCACCAATGAAGAACTGTCCTGGAAGCTGATACGAACTTGTGTGTTACAACTAACATTGTAGGAAAAACTGGTGGTTGTTAACTTTCTTTTATGGGTAAGGAATTAGACTGGCATCTCTCTTATACTCTCTAGGCAGGAAAATTTCACATAATATAGGCTGTTCACAGAGTGATGGTCCCATACATACGGCAGTGAGATTCTGATGTCTTCTGTACTCCCATGGAAACTTTAGCTGGAGAATTTGCAACTGCTTTGGGAAAGTTTTCAAACATCTAACTCCATTAACATTCTTTGTGTGCCTGGGCTTGCATAAATGTCTCTCTTTCCCAACCTTAACTCCTGCCCATTCTTATCCCAGAGGTTAATAGGGCACCAACCTTTAGGTCTTGCCAGCTGCACCGACTTGACAAATTCTCCACAATAAGTCTGTATTCTGTGCGGGTGGGAGGGCCATATTTATCTCGGCCACTTCTTCTATAACCATATCCACCTTTGGAAGGTTCAAATAAGATTACTTCAGTGGAGGAAAAGCAAACCAATAATATACTACATATTCCCCTTAAATATATAATTTACCCCCACCCCAAACAATATCAAATATATTTAAATTCTAGCCCCACCCTCAATTCTAACTAGATTAAAAAAAAAAATCAGCTTAACATAAAAATTTAATTTACAAAGTTGTAAACATGTTCAGTAATATTTATATTTAAAATTAACATGCATAAATTAAAAACTATTAACAATTTAGAAATAAGTAACCAGATTACTAAATCAGTTACTGTTATTACTCACAGTGATTAAAGTTTTTTTGTGAATATTTTATATGAAAAAAAGATTTTCAGGCACCTATTTCAGTTTAATCTCATCTGTGTCTAACCCTTGGGATCCTCACCACCCAGGTCTAATGGGGAAAGGTTGCGGTCGTCACATGGCTTCCTGTTTTTGGTCAGCCAAGGGCCACAATGGTTCAAAGAGCCACGCATGGAAAGGTAACCCAAGGTCAGCAAATGGAACAGGCAGTCATCTTAGCCTCAAAGGATTCTTTTAATTAAAACATTGAGGTCTTTGTTAAATCTATGTTAAACAATTGCATTACAGAGAAAAAAAAAACAACACAAACACACATCATTAAACATATTTATAAAATATTAAAACAAGAAATTTATGTCATTAATTTAAAATTAAACATTATCAAAAATGTTTATTTGCAATTTTACATTTAAAAATACACATAAGTTATAAAACAAATGGCTTAAATATCAATACATTTCAATGTAACATTAATCAATTACTTAAAAATTAACATTTAATAACAAAGGCATATCACTGATACAAATGTCCTTGAAATGCTTACTGCGTCCAGAACCGTAACTGCCATCTCGCCGTGGGCCGCGGGCATGCTCAACAATTACTCGCTCACCACAAAGGTCTTTGCCGTTCAGTTCATAAACAGCATCATCTGCATCACGCAGATCATCAAACTCCACAAAACCATACCTAGAAGAAAGCAAACAAAACATGATTGGCATCATTTTGCCACCCAGCTGTACCAACATTAAAGAGAAAGCAAGGAGATTCATGCTTAGCAAAGGTTAGGTGGGTTTTGCAAACTAAGGATCAGTTTCTCTTCCCATTAGTTGAAACTGCTTTGCTTTTGCCAACAGGCACTGTAAGAGGATAGGGAGACTTCTCAAGATAGACTCCTGTTTTTCTAGTAAGAAGCTGGCTAAGTATACAGAAACCACTTCTTTTGTTCCCCATGTATATAGTTGGTGGCACTTGCAAAGACCTCCACAAGATAGAATATTTGCCCTTTCAAATCATGTACCAACTTATCTTTCTTAGCTTAGCTTCGAAGTGATGTCTTAGTGATTAACTCAACATTCAGGCCTTGTGTCTTAACTGTTAAATCAGGTTTGGAATAACATGCCTTAAATCTGCTCCATGAAAAAAAAAATTTTGTAATGTTCCTGTTCCTTTAACTTATTACTTGCAACTGAAAAAACTGTTCTAGAAATAATCAGTGAAAAAACAAACAAACAAACCTGGAGCTATTCATTAGCCCGTGATATTCCAAATTCATCTCCATGAAGTTTTAAAAAGACTTGGAATTCTCTAAAATCTCTATAATAACTGTGCAAATTTCTTTACATAGTACAGCCAGGAATTTCCCAGCAAAGAGGTTTGGTGATTTTGAGTATCTGAAAAAAATAACCCCCACCCCCAAATCCTATTAATGCGTGCTAAAAGAATATAACTTACAAAAACTAAAGTGCAAAATGTTTAAGATAATTATAAGCAAAGTTAAACAAACATCCTTATCAGTTGTTATCAATAAATATATAGTTTGGTATAACATGGCTGTGAAAGTCTAGTTTTGAAGAAAGTAACGAGCACGATGCTGCATACAGAGGCAAATGCCCACACCAAGGCATAGTGCTCCTCTGTGTTTAAAATATACTGTAACTAAAAACAGGTACATGACTTGCCAGAAGTTCATTCAGCCTGACAAAAAATATTATTCCAGCTTCTCTAGCATCTAACGCTGTACTCAGCAACATGCCACCTGAGAGAACTCAGGCACGTGGAAGTCTTCCCTCACTAAAGAGTTCCTCTCAAACAAGAGTCTTTCAGGTGACAATGTGCAGTTAACAAGTCTCAAGAGCTCTTTATGCTGAAATGTCCACTCAAACTTTAAGAATCACTGAATCTTAACTCCATTAAAAAAGGTAACAGACACACCCATTGTTTAATGTAAAATGTTTTGCAGTAACACAATTCAAGAAAATACCTGACTCAATTTATGGGCTATATCAAGTCTTTAACATGGTCTCATACCTCCATAGGCTTGAATTTCTGTTAAAAAATCAAGATCAAGATCACTGATTTAGTATGTTAAAAAGTGTTTTACTATCACTGAAAAGTCTGTAGCAGGTAATATACGGTAGTACCTTTTTGCTTTCCTAAGTAGAGTTGGTCATCAGGAAAGCGATACTATCCTACTTACAAATGAAATGAAAAAAGTAAATCTGCTTTATATTTTGACTTATTTTTAAATAGATTATAAAATACCAAAAAAAGTGCCTTAGTTTAGTTGTCTACACTGACCGCTGGTCTGGTGTACAGCACTGCTGCCCTTGGCATATGAGAGCCTGATGCCAAGTAGGCAGATGAGAGAAACACTCCTGATGAAGTGGCCTCCACTTTCCCGAGCTAGACACTGGCCTGGCACCATTTAGGACCCTAACTCATCTAGTGTGATACCAGACGGACAACTCTGACTCTTAAATACATCACAGGAATAGCCTAATAGTTTTCCTCAAAATAACAAGAATCTACAACTATTCAGGGGGCCCGAGAACACAGGACCCTTAATTCTGCAATTTAGGGCTCTGCACGTTCATTCTTTCCCAAGGCTTATAAGGAGAACTCACTCTGACCTTTGCGGGAAAGTAATGACAATCTATTAAGTGGAGGCACAATTATTTAGAACCAAAATTAATGCTCAGACAGATGGAAACTTTCTTTGTAGCTGAGGCTGAAGCACAGCTCACCTTGCCAATAAAACCCGACCCTGAGTTGTAAGAACCAGTATGTTTTTAGAGGAAAATGGTTCCTTTAGTTCTTAATATTTACTTCTAAAAAGTCCCAACAAGAGCAGACTTTCTGCCCATCTGTGACTATGCAGGTGTTTCTTTTCACCAACTCTCCCCCTCTGCAGGGCAGCAGCCTTCCTGCCTGCCCGTGACCTGTACCAGGCCGGACTTCTCCTCGCTGATCCCCCTTAGCAGAAGCAGCTTTCCTCAGGGCCGCCTGTTTTCAACCATGCAGGCCTCTCTCATTAAAGCTGCCCCTTTTGGGGCAGCTCTTTCTGCCCACTTGTGTCTATGCAAGTGTCCTTTACTGTTCTGCTACTTTCCCTAATAAACCTGCTCTTAAAAAAAAAAAAAAAAATATATATATATATAAGTCCCAACAAGGAGGTCACTTATTGTCACTTTTTTGATATCCAAGTCCCTTATTGAAACAGATCAAATTTACTTCACAGAAAGATTTTGGTTACTACTCTGTGAAAAGCCACAAAATCTATTTGGAAATTTTTAATGTCAAAGTCCTGCCCAAGGACTGAATCAGGCACCTGACTGCCACTGCTGTCATTGACATGCTGGGAGGGTTTGGAAAATTAAAATTCTCCTGCATAACAAAACAAACCTGCTAGGAGTTCCTGTTCTGAGAGCAAAGCAAAGACCAGATCAGTTCACATTACTCTTGGTTTAGATCAGCAGTACTGAAAGAACGACATTTCATTCAGTAAGTAGAGTGAATGAGTTCTCTAATAGGACAAGACTAGATAACAACAAAATGTTACTTAAGTAAATATACTAGACAATGTTATCTTATTTAATATTAACAATACTCAAGAGCCAGGCACTATTATTCCTGTTTTACAGAAGAGGAAACTGAGGCACACAATGGTAACTTGCATAAAACAGCAGAGCTGGCATCCAACGCCTGTGGTATGATGCCAGAGCTCAAACTCCTATTAAGACTGGAGCAGCATAAAGCGGCCTGGGTTCTAGTCCTAGTTCTGCTATTAAACCAGCTTGGAAACACACATTTAAATTATTGTATTTCTCTGGGTTTAGTTTACTCATGAAATGAGGTCGTGCTAACTACTATACTATGTCATGATATACTACGCAGCTCTAAGTTTTCTCTTAACATCAAAAGTATGATAGGTAAATGTCCTCTGGCTTAAAGAAGGAATAATTAAAATCAACATAACACCAGAGATGGATAACAGTGACAGATGGACAGGATAAATTTAATTTTTATCACCTAAAATAGCTCCAAACTACTGTATGGGTGCCAATTTTAGTTTTATTTCAACATTTCAACTGTCTCTGAAGTAAATTTTAGGGCCTTCAACAAAGTAAAGCTTTCCCTGGTAACTAACATCAGGAAATCTTTGTTAATCCACCTAACGTCCCTTTGTCCCTTGTAGCAAATAACATGAAACTAATCTCCTCTCTCCCAAAAGTACTCTCCTTTGGGACCCTGTCAAAGTGGGGGGGGGGGACAGAAGAAGTACACACACACACACACACCCCATACACACCTACTTTTTGACACACATTTACATATCGCTGGTGGGATCTGTGAATGAGCCTCATAAACACTAGCTAATAGACACATTCCTTAATTCAACCTGCAGACACTTTCTCCTCTGCTCTATTAAAAACAAAGAGCATCTTTCAATAATTCTAGTATGAAAATGAAGATAAAAGAGTTCAGGAGAATGACTCTTAAGATAGATTAACATGACCCTGTAACAAAAATCCACCCCTTGTTTGACTCCAGATGTTGTATCTTTTCATCTTTCTTGCCTCTGCCTAGTTCAAAGAACAAAAAGCACTACTTATTAGGTACGTAATAGTTCTCAATTAAAAGAAAAACTCCTTTCCTTGATGTGTCCTTTTCCCAAACTCTTTTCCTCTGGGTCACATTTTAGCCTAAGCAATTGAGTCAAAAAAATGATGAAAGGGCAGTTACTGTCATTTTCTCCCTGAAGAAACCAGGCACCATGACTCTTGTCAAGTATAGACAGGTACCTGGACACCACAAGCAAAAGCCACACTGAACTTTGTCGGCCATTCTACACTGTTGTCCACCCCCACACCCTTGCCAATGCTCCAGTCCTCTCATAACAGCTGCTGATGGCTCAGGCCATGAGTCAACGCTGAGAAGCTAGAATGCCAGGTGTTTTAAACTAAGGTGCTCCAGGACTTCAATTTTAGGAGTGTTAATCACATTTTTTTCACTCAAGAACAATTACCATCTCTGAACTTGTAATGCTATAAATAGACTTTCCCAGGCCCTGATACCCTATACCAATGACCCCAAGTACCACTGTATTTCCTACTGAAGAGGACATGGAGTTTATCTCACCCCTTTTGGAATGGCTTAGTTGTTTTCCAAACATCTTCTCTGAACAAGGAGCCCGGAGAAAAGTGCTGTCTGAAAAATGAGGAGGATGACTTGCTCTGGAGATATGCTGGTCAACACCTAAGTGGGCAGGGTATGATGAGGGGGTTCTGGATACCAGATGTCTGATGGGGCATGGATACAAGGAGCAGGGGAAAGCAAGCCTCCATGCGTGTGCCTGCAGTCGGTCACCCACCAACACTGCTTACCGAGGGGCATGCCTAAGAAAAATACGCCCCTTTCCACAGTGGATCTCTGCTCACCTTTGTCCTAAAACTGTGCCACATGCTTTTCTTTGTATGTGGACATGACAGTCCTCAGCCAACCATCAGCAGGATGTGTTTGATTTCCCAATGTGGTGAGCCATTCCCACATTCACTCATTTTCCTTGCAAGAACCGAACCTCTCCATGGCTGGTCAGGATTAGGGATGTTGCTGTAGCCAAGGAAAAATTTTCATCTGTTGAAATTAACCCATGGGGTGGCTTGAACCCTCAAACTAGGGTCAGTAAG